CTCAAAAGGTGAATGGGTCAACATACCACACCACATCCATGCATGGAGCGCTACTCGGCAGCAAAGGGGGATGAGCCAGTGATGCAGGCGATGACTTGGATGAATCGCCAGGAAATTATGCAGCGTGGGAAAGCCAGTCTCAGAACACACACCGCTCGATCCCCTGTATGTGACAATTGTGGGGAACACAGTTACAGAGCTGCAGATTGGTGACTGCCGGAGGTTAGGAACGGGAGGGGAGGGATGTGGCTAAAAAGGGGTGACCCAAGGGACCTCATGGCCGTGGTACAGTCGAGTGACTTGATTGTTGTGGTGGTTACTCCGGGCTCACGTGTGACAAAAATTGAGTAGAGCTACACACAAACACACACACAAGTGAGGGCACATACAACCAGTGACATCTGAGTAAACTAGATGATGCCTGTCAATTCCTTGGTGTTGCTACTGTGCTAGGGTTATGGGAGCTGGGGAGGGGAGCTGGGGGAGAGGTGCACAGGACTTCTTTGTGCGTTCCCTTCACCCTCCTGTGACTCTAGAATTATTTCAAAATAAAAAAATTTAAAATACATATACTCAGGGCACCTGGGTGGCTCAGTCGGTAAAGTGTCTGCCTTCGGCTCAGGTCATGATCTCAGGGTCCTGGGATTGAGTCCCACGTTGGACTCCCTGCTTGGCAGGGGAGTGTGCTTCTCCCTCTCCCTTTACCCCTCCTCCCTGCTCATGCTCTCTGTCTCTCTCAAGTAAATAAAAATCTTTAAAAAAAAATAAAATGCATATACCCAGAATCCACCCCCTTTCAGTCACCTGCCCTGTTACCAGGTAGATCCAAACCACTATCATCTCTTGCCTGGATTATTGCAATGGCCTCTTACTGGGTCTTCCTGATTTTACATTCAGTCTATTCTCAAAAAATAGCAGCTTCTAAAATGGAAGGCAGTTTCTGTCATTTATAGAAATAAATGAAGACCAACCACATGAGAAAGCAAAGGCTATTTATTAGAAGCTTGCTTTGGCAGGGAGTCAGCCCCCGTCACTTGTGTTTTGGCAGAGGCTCAAAGGCAGGCAGAGGCGTGGGAAGGCTTTGTGGCGGGAAATGGGGAGGCTTCAGGTGTGCCCCCATGGGAGGCTGTTGGCACAGGGGAGCTGTAGGTGGGCTGACTAGAAGCGGAACATCCTGTGTGATGGGTTAGGAGTGCCTATTTGGCTTTTTTCTGGTTGAATCTAAGTTAGGAGGAGGGACCAAAAGTGGGGAACCTGTCAGTTATTGACGATTTGGGGCCAATTGTTACAGAAGTTATTGTTTGGCTTCCTGGATCGTCACTAGAGATAGAGGTCTGTCTTCCCACAAACCTGATGCACAGCAGGCTGGCTTCCTAGGCTGGTTATTGTAGAAAAAAAGGGGGTGGTTCCCTGGGCAGGTCGCTGCAGGTGCCAGTCAGGGTTCTCTTTTTATATGTAGCCTGGCCATTGTCAGCTTGTATATTCAGTCTCTCACATTCCTCTGCTAGAATTCTCCAGCAGGTCCCCATTGCACAGAGTCCTCACAATGGCCTCTAAGGCCCCACATGACCTGGCCCCATTTTCCCCCTCTAGTCTCCTTCTCTCCCACACCCTCCACTCCAGCCACACTGGCCACCTTGCTGTTCCAGAACATGCCACGCCCTCTCCCAAGGCACTTAGGACCTTTCACATACTGTGACTTTCTTATTTTTCATGCTTATTGTTTATATCTAGCACTCCCAACAAGAGTGGGAATTTCACAAGGATGCAAGCTCGGGTTGGTGACTTGACTTCTATCCCAGCACCTAGAACATTGCCTTGTCCAACACAGAGTGAGTGCCCAATACAATATTTTTGAATGAATGAGTGAACTCATACATGAGTATGTGTGTGCAGATGTATTTAATAACATCTACTACTTTTTACCAGATGCTTGGAGTTTACTTCACACTATGCCAAGTGCATTAATATATTATCCCATTTTTATTCTTTAAAGTGCTCCTATGGAGGGTGTTATCAGGGCCACTTCCTGCCCAAGTAAGGTAGTCCCAGGGAAACAGTACCAAGTCCCGGAGCTCCTCAGAGACTTACATGAAAGTTTAAAGCCCAAGAAGAGGCCTGGTTCCAAAATGCAAAAACTATACAATAACCCAAATTAATAAATATTTAATGAAATGTCTACAAAATGTCATCAATTGTTAATTTATGTCATTAATTCTGTGTCAACGTCTTTAATTATTAAATGTAGTGTTCATAAGAATTTCATTATATTTGGAAATAATTTGTAGATTAGATTTTTTTTAAAACTCTGTGAGCACTTCAAGAATGCAAATGAGGGGCGCCTGGGTGGCTCAGTTGTTGGGCATCTGCCTTCCGCTCAGGTCATGATCCCGGGGTCCTGGGATCGAGCCCCGCATCGGGCTCCCTGCTCCACAGGAGGCCTGCTTCTCCCTCTCCCACTCCCCCTGCTTGTGTTCCCTCTCTTGCTGTGTCTCTCTCTGTCAAATAAATAAATAAAATCTTAAAAAAAAAAAAAGAATGCAAATGAATACCCAAGAGCACTGAGAACTCGCAGATAATTATACTGTAAACGAATTACTCTTAGCCAAATAATTTCCAAGGCAGATTTACAAAAATCACTTCATATTATTTTACAGTAATGTGTTATATTTAATGTAGTAATTCTGTGTCTTAATAATTGATTTGGTGAGGAACTTCCAAAAGTAATAGTACTTCATCCTAGGAAGGTCTTAAAATGACCTTTGATACAATTAGCCCCATTTTACAGATTTAACTCTATGTTCTGCAGTTTTCTGGTCATACTAGTCAACCTCCCCAGTTTCTCCTGGCCAAGTCCTCCCGCCTTCCTCTTCCCACCCCCCACTCTGTCCCCACTATCACCGACAAGCCCATCCTGGGCTGGGTACACACAGGGTGTGTGTGTGTGTGTGTGTGTGTGAGAGAGAGAGAGAGAGAGAGAGAGAATGGTCAGGCAAGGTATACGTTTCCCAGGCTCTGGTCCCCTCTTCACTTGCTCACCACTCAGGTTGTTCCACTGTCTCCCTGGATGGCTTCTGGAACTAGGAAAACAGCAATCCCCCAAATCGCCACCAGGTGGTGCCACAAGCTCATGCCTGAGGAGACCTAGCTAGAAGGCCCCCGAGTGCCCTCCCCAGGCTGCTTCTCCACCTCCGGATGACTCTGGCCCCTCCGGGGTGAGCCGCATGACTTTGCTTCCACCACGTGGTAGGCACAGAAGTTTCACTCCCGCTCCCTCACCTTCGCAGTCTCCCAGCTGTGTTGTCTCTCCCTGCTCCCGTCCCCTTTCCCTATGTCCTTCTGTCTGTCTCCTCCTCCATCTCTCTCTTTCTGTCACATACCTCCATCTTCCTAACAAATCTAATACTCCTCCACCTCATTCAACAAGTTAGTTTTAAAAACCAGTTGCTACGGGGGCGCCTGGGTGGCTCAGTCGGTTAAGCGGCTGCCTTTGGCTCAGATCCTGATCCCAAGGTCCTGGGTCCAGCCCCAGCTGGGCGGGAAGCCTGCTTCTCCCTCTGCCTCTGCCCCTCCCCCACCTTGCTCTCTCTCTCAAATAAATAAAATTTTAAAAACAAAACAAAACAGTTGCTGGTGACTATTATATGGCAGACGCTTTGCCAGGCTCTAGGAAAGTCAGTGAAAAGTCAGTGAAGGCAAGTCAGTGTCCCAGTGTAGGGGAAGCTCCCAATAGAGGAGGACTGTGGTAGGTGAGCCCCTTTTATCCTCTGCCTCCTCCCTCTCCCCTCCCTTCCCCCTTCCCTCCCTTCCCCTCTCTTCTCTTCCAAAAACCACTCACCAGAAAGAGCCAGAAGTGCTCTCCTCTCAGCTCCCATCCCTCCCATACACAAATCTCCCCAAGGCCACCTCTTCATCATTCTCATTTCAAGATTTTGGGGGCCCCACCAGGGCTAAACCAGGGCCTTGAGTGAATGACCCAATGACTGAGATCTTCCCACCAACCACTCCTACCCATGTGTTGGATAGGGCCCCCGGGTGGGGTGGACTACAGATTTTTACCTTTGCCCAGATGTCTACCCCATCCTTATTTCCTCCTTCTTTCTCTGGGGTAAGGGGCCACTCCATTTGTCCACAGCTAATCCCTCCATCAGGCTCAGGTCCCATTCCCTTCTCTCCCTCCCCATCCCTACCTCTTTCTCCCTTCCTACTGGATCTTAACTCTCACTTCCTTCTTCAAAGTGCCCACCTCCATGCCAGCCAATGCAATTAGACAAGAGAAAGCATTTTAAAACCTTGATAGGAGGAGATGAAGTTCTAGAAAAGTGAAATTTAATTCATAGCAATGGAAGAGCAGATCATTGGTGGCCTGGGGCCAGGGAAGGGACATGGGGGAAGTTTGTGAGTTGATGGCAATGTTCTGTATCTTGACTGTGTTGGCTGATGGTTACACGGTGTTCACATTTGTCAGAACACATCAAGCACTACATTTACAATGACTGCATTTCATTGTGGTATGAAAAAAAAAGTAAAAAGTAAAAAAAAAAACAAAAGTAAATGCTGGAGGAAGACAGCAAAAACCCTGTGCTTTGAAAATCTAAGTTAAAGAGCAATAAACAGTTGGACAATAATAGTAAAAACCCTACACTGAGATGCAATTTTTCACTTACCAGATTGTCAAAAACTCCAAAAGTTTAATAACACCCTGTGTTGGCATGGCTGTGAGGAAAAGCACACTCTTAATCACTAATGATGGGAGTGTAAATTGGAATAACCCCTTAAAGAGGGAATTTGGGCAATATTTGTTAAATTACAAATGTTGTTTTTTGTGGGGGTTTTTTTGGTTTTTAGAGATTTTTTATTTATTTATTTGACAGAGAGAGAGATAGTGAGAGCAGGAACACAAGCAGGGGGAGTGGGAGAGGGAGAAGCAGGCTTCCCGTGGAGCAGGGAGCCCGATGCGGGGCTCAATCCCAGGCCCCTGGGACCATGACCTGAGCCGAAGGCAGACGCTTAACGACTGCGCCACCCAGGCGCCCCTAAATTACAAATGTTTTAACCTAGCCATTTCTCTTCTGGAATTTTATCCTACAGGTAAGCTCAAGCACAGGCGAAGTAGTGTATGCTAAAGGTTATTACTACAGCATTGCTTGAAATAGCAAAACCCCCCAAATAATCTAAATGTCCATTAATGCAGACAGGTTAAATAAATTATGATACATCTGAACAATAGAAGCCTATGGAACTACAAAACGCAGTGGGAGAAGTCTGTGCATGCTGTTATGGAAAGATCCTCAAGGTGTAATGTGAATAAAGCAACATTATATTTTCTATGTTTCCATTTGTATTTTAGAAAGTCCAGAGGATATATATTTGGATTTTCTTGTATATGCATAAAAAAAAACCTTCTGGAATAACCAACAAACTAATCAGTGGATACTTGTTTGGAGGAAGGTGTGGGAACTATGTGGATGGAGTCAGGAGTATTAGGGACAGTTTTAATAGTATGCCTTTTTAATCTTTAAAAAGATTTGAAGGACGTGACTGTACCAGCTATTCAAAATTTACTTATTTTTAAAATAACATCAAAATAATACATTACACATATGTCAATGTGAGCATTTTACTTATCATTATTTGTAAGGTTATCTCGAGGGAAAAAAATGATATATAGCAAGTCTAGTTCAGTGCAGGCACGTATATGGTACAGCGTTACTCTTTCTATCCCCTCTCCCCCAAATCCACGCGCGCCCCCCCATACTTCAGGTTCCAGTTCCTGAAATCAGAAGCCACTCAGCTGCCTCTTCCAGCTCTGTCCTCGCAGGGGCTGTCCCCTCTGTGGCATGCTTTGCCCCGTCTCTTTTCTTCTCTCATCACCCTGCCCTGTGGCTGCAAGGGCATAAGGGCATCACCTCCTCAGGGAAGCCTCCTCTGATTGACACCCTCTCCCTCCCTCCCTACCGCTGTTAAGTGCCCCTTGCCTTCCCCAGCCGACTGCAAGGCCTTCTCAGACCTCGAAGCCCAGGGGCCCTTGAACCCTTGGGCTCCCTTTCCTAGGGTGCTGGCCTCACCAAGGAATGAGTGCCCCTCAACACGGGGAATTAGTGGTAGGCCTTACTCCCCACCTATATAGACATCCAGAAGATTCAGTTTCCTGTAAATGTTATGTTGATCCTCCCACAACCACAAAGATAATCTCAGTTTCGATTTCTTCTAAGCTTTCACGAGGAAGACGTGGGGCTTTCCCGTAAACTCCTGGCATGCTGCGTGCTGCCGTGGAGAAAGGAACAGCTCATATATGAAGTTCACAGTCCGGCAGGAAGGACAGGCACTGATGCCAAGAATGGCGACAGCCCCAATGTAGAGGGGGGCCCAGTGGAGAGCAGAGGACCGTGCCCCACTAGGCTTCGAGGGTGGCGGGGGAGAGTGGCTGGTGGGGGCGGGAAGGACTGCAGGGAAGGCAGCCTCCGGCTGAGGGCAGAGCTGGGGGGGAGGGCAGCTGGCCGGGGCTCTGGCCCTCCAAGGTGGGGACCCTGGAGCTGAAACCTAAACCCCAAGGCCACGCAGTCCACACTAGGAGGACTTACCAGAGGAGGGAAAAGGCAAGCACTGGCAGGAAAAAAGGGGAAAACCAGATGGGGCCTGGTGCCAGGGGGGCTGGTGAGGCCCCGAGGGGAACCGCCTGGTGCCAGAGGACAAGCCCAGGGCTGTTTCGCAGAGGGGAGGTCCTGATTTCTGTGGGTTTCTTTTTTCACAAGCCTTTCCAGGAAGTGAGATTCATTTCTTAGGGCTGAAGCAGTAAAAGGCCCCTTCCCTGGGGTCCCTGGGGTTTGGGCTGGAGCACTGGAGCAGAAAGCCGGGCCGGGCTCCCAGGGCTAAAGCCCCCCGGGCCGGGCCTCCAGGCCCAATTCCTTCTGTTTCCTTCCCCTCTGCTGGGGGAGAAACAGGGACCCCGGGGGGGGGAAGACAGGGAGCTGACAGCAGCCCTGACTCATCTGCTGAACGTGATCAGACCCCCCCCACCCTGCCCCTCGGGAGGGTGTCTGCAGGACCAGCCCAGACACACCCATACCTCTCTTTCCTGGCGAACTTCTACCCCAAAGAGGAACGGAAGAGCCCACACCTGCCCCAGGGTCTCTGAAACCCCTGGCAGGAAGGGGAACTGTGGGTGATTTACACGCATATATTAAGGGTGTGTCAGCCTCCCAGCCCTCGTCCTTCCCCGGGTGGCGGTAAGGGCATGGCCTCGGGAACCCCCCAACCCAAGCCCGTGCCCCCATTTCTCTTCAATACATTGTAAACAGCACATTTATTGGCGGTTTGCAAACCTCTGGTAAAAAGCACAGAACAGGGCTCTCCTACATGCTGCCCTGGGCCCCAGCCCGTCAGGCATGCAAGACGGAGCTGGGAGCTGGTAGATGAGTCGTCAAGACATCTTCAGGAGCAGGGCCAGAGGTGGAGAAGGCCCCACGCTTTTCCATCCCCCCTGCACACTGGCTTGAGCCTAGACGACAACCAGGAAGGCAGGCCCAGCTCCATCCCCGAATCCCTGCCCTGCAGTGACTCTCCTTGGTGGCTGCCTTCCTTCTCCCCCACTCACCCTCTCTGATCCCCACTTGAGCTGGGACCTGAGCCACATGCTTGGCTCCCTCGCGCTGGGACCAAACCCACTGCGGTCAGGCTGTTCCTGCGGGCCCTGCCTCTGCAGTCAGTTAGCCAGCAGAGCGGAGCGGGCCTGGCCCTCTTGTCATCACTCCGTGTACCCGGCTCGGGGAGGGGCAGTCAGCCGGGGACCGGGATGGGCAAAGGCTTGTCCAGAGAAGCACTCTAGGTGAGAAGGGCCAGGTGGCCTGACTCAGTGTCTCCCAGCCTCTGGTGTCTGCCCAGCCTCCATTCACTGGCTCCTGGCTGAGCCTCGAACTTCGCAGGGCCTCAACAATCCAAGGTGTGGCACCAGTGCCTCCTCCTCCAAGATGCCCCCCCTGGCTTGATGCCAGACTTGGGGCTGGGCTATGGACAGTCAGCCAAAGCTGCTACTTCAGGGCCCTGAGGACAGCCTCCAGCTTCATGGCCACAGCCAGGTCACCCTTCACCTTTAGCCGCCCACTCATGTAGGCCCCCAGGGGCCGCAGCTCCCTGCACAGAAGGGCCCGCAGGTCTGCCTCCGCCATCTCCACCACCACATCTGGGAGGCCGTCAGGCACCCCGTGGCCTACCCTCCCGTGCCCTGTGGAGGGAAAGAAAGATGGAGCATTAGTAGTGGGGATGGCTATGCAGCGTGTCCCACTGGGAGGGGTGGAAAGTAATAATTCAGTGTTCAGGTTCTAATTCCCTGAGTTCAAGTCGTATTGGCTGTGTGACCACTCAGGGCCTCAGTTTCCAAATTGGTGAAATGGGGAGGACGGTCATCCCTGAATCAGAGGCTCGCAGTGAGAAGTAGGTGAGATCACGCACTGCACGTGCTCAGCACAGAGCCTGGCATGCAGTAGGCCTGCACTGTGTGCGGGACTCTGGCTGTAGGGAGCTCGGTCGTCGGAGTCATCGTGCTCACGGGGACAGGGCAGGGAGACAAAGGCCCGGACTGTCATTGTCTGCACATGCTGCCTGAGCCCCTGACTGCTAGGGGTTCCCTCTAAACCACTGTAGGAGCAGAGAGCAGTTTTAAAAAGGACCACAGGGGTGGTGGGGTTGGCTACAAGCAACCTGGCTGGGAAGGCGGGGGCGGGGAAGGCAGGGGCACCTGTAGTGAGGTCGAGGAAGTAGATGCTCTGGGTACCACTGGGCAGGATGACATTGAACTGGTAGCAGGCCCCGACCTGGCTGACCAGGGCCTCCGACAGGAAGGGCTGCAGGGCAGTCAGCAGGCCCTCGGCCACGGGCTGCTTTGGGCTGAGCCCAGAACCAACGTGTGGGGCAGGCTGTTCAGCTTCGCTGACCATCTCCAAGGTGTCTGCTGGGGTGGCCAACGGAGTTGGGGAAGGAAGCAGAGAGAAGAAGGTCAGTGTGCTGCCTAGGTCGGGCTCATTGTGTCTTCTGCACGTCTCATGGCAGCTCCCTCTTATACGCCCTTCAGGCCTGAGTTGGACTTCCTCCTCGGCTAAGAAGCAGCCCTTCAGCTTTCACACTCTGGGTGCTGTCCCTTCCTCCCACGGAGGCTCCCAAAGGCCTCTACGCATTCAGACAGCTGGGCTCTTTTTACTGCCTTAGCTCCCGTCGGCTCCAGCAGTGGGGGAGGCCTGAGCAGCTGGGCAGGTGTGCACCGCTCAAAGGCGCTCGGCTCAGTTAAGGGAACGGGGAGCAAAGCTGAGCATGCGCAGGACATGGAGCCGAGCACCCCGGGAGCACCTCCCCTTCTTCCCGGGGCTTCTCACCTGACCCTGGGGCTGAGGCACCTCCTGCCACGGAGGACAGGCCTCCTCCTAGGAAGTGGAGGGCCAGCTGCTGGAGGGTGCTGTCCAAGCTGGGCCCCGCTGGGCTGTCCTGGGGTGGCTGGAGCACGGCCTCCACTGCTAGCTCCACTCGGTCCACCTCCAGCCCCCAGGCCCTGGTCACATCATTGATTTCCAGCTGGCAAACAATGTGTGGAGAAATGGAATTAAATCGAAAAGCCATTCTGGGAGCACCTTCTTCGGGCTGGAGGTGCCACACCCCACACACCCCCCTCCGGGCCAGGCTCCCTCCTGGGGAATGCAGGCAGAGGACGATTACAACCTGGCAGCTGGCGTGAGCAACTAGAACCAGGCCTGACCCCCTGGAGGTCCAGGGAGCGGGCAGTGACGCCGGGAGGAGCGGACTCATCCCAGCCAAAGAGTAGAGCAGGAAGGAAGACTGCGGTGTTGTGATTTATGAGAACTAGGCATTTGGGGGCGCCTGGGTGGCTCAGTCGTTAAGCGTCTGCCTTCGGCTCAGGTCATGATCCCAGGGTCCCACATTGGGCTCCCTTCTCGGCGGGAAGCCTGCTTCTCCCTCTCCCACTTCCCCTGCTTGTGTTCCCTCTCTCACTGTCTCTTTCTGTCAAATAAATAAATAAAATCTTTATAAAAAAAAAAAGAAATACGCATTTGATCATTTAACTGATAAAATATACTTCTATATATTTGTCTTTGTTCCTGACTCCTAGCTCCTACAACCCTTGGAATTGCCTGTGAGGAGAGTGATAAAGGGGTCTTTTATGATGATAAGAAAGGTGATTTTTGGACCCCACTCAAGGGTGGGGGTTGGCTGCCAGAAGGACCAACCATGTGATGGGAGAACTGGAACTTTCAGTCCCACCCCAAGCAATGACCAATGACTTGATCCTCAGTATGCAAAGAAGCCTCCATAAAATTCCTAGAACGACTGGGTTCCAGAGCTTCCAGACAGGGGAACACAAGAGGGGTGCCTGGGGAGGACATGGAAGCTCTGTGCCCCTTCCCCCGGCCTTGCCCTCTTTGTCTGGCTGTTGATTCTTACCTTTTATCATATCCTTTAGTAAACTGGTAAGCATAAGTGTTTCCCAGAGTTCTGTGAGCTGCTCTAGCAAAAAAACCCAGGGAGGTCGCTGTAACCCCCAATCTGGAGCTGGTTTGTCAGAAGCATAGGTTAACAGCCTGGCATCTTGTGACTGGCATCTTTAGTAAGGGATGGGGAGCAGTCTTGTGGGACTGAGACCTTAACCCATGGGATCTGATGCTGTCTCTGGGTAGACAGTGTCAGAATTGAGTTGAATTCTTGGGATACCCTACTGGTGTCTGAAAATTGCGTGGTGTTGTGTGTGTGGAAACCCCCCTTCCCCACACTGGAATTGGGTCCAGGAACCCCACAAGGACTCTTTCAGTCAATGGAAACAGCAAGTACAAAAGCCCAGACAACCTGGAATGTCTGGGGAAGTGAGAGTAACCACCGTTCCATTTAGCTAGACCCTCAAGTGTGGGTTGGGAGACTGGAGACAGCTGAGGGCTCAGATGTGGGTGGCTCTGGCTCACTCGGATTTATTCTGACACACGAGGAGCCTCAGAGAGGAGTTTAGCAGGGGGGTGACAGCAGACTTGCTCATTGGGAAGATCCTCCTGGCTGTTCTGTGGACACTGGATTGAAGGGGGCTGAGGGTGGAGACATGGAGACCACGTGGGCCATCGTTTCAAAGGGCAAGCAGAAATGAGGCGGATCTGGTGTCAGACAGAGAGGAGGCTGTGAAGCCAAAACACGCAGAGGACGGAGCACAACTCTGTCAACTGTATGAAGCTGGAGCAAGACCCTGGGGAAACAAGCAGTGAGTGTGCTGGCTGCCTGGCTGTGCAGTGACAGAGGGCGGAGCGGGGCTGGCTCTCTGGTGTGGGCTCCGCATGGGTCGTGAGCACGCGGGGAGACACACACTTGGGCGTGGCTAGGGGAGGGAAGAGGACTTTTTTTTTTTTAACATAATCAGCTCAAGGTGTCTATGCAACAGCAACTGTCCAGGTTGGATAAATGGGGTCCAGGTCACAGGAGTGGGGTTGTAAACAATCAGTGTCCAGAGGCAGCATGAGGCCTGGCCGGATGAGCCTTCCTGGCGGTCCCAGACAAGAAGACGCCATTGACGGAAACTTGGAAACTGAAGAGCAGGAGAGCAAGGAGTAACCAGAGTGAGCTAGAAGGAGGAAAAGCCGAAGTGGAATAACGGAAGCCAAGGGAAGCAGAGGATCCGAGAGAGAGAGAAGGCGGGGCGGGGGGAGGAGGGTGCACAGAGTCAGAGGCTCCCACGAGGTGAAGCAAGCGTAGGACTGAGAAGTGCCGGGAGCTAGCAGGAGGGAGGTCACACTGCTGCCTTAGGAGTCTGGAGGAAGCCTAGACTGAGGACAGGGGCGGGCAGGGCCAGGGAGAGGCAAGGAGAGGTGGGGGAGAGCTGTCAGGGGCTGGGGTGCAGAGGGAGCCTGCGCCCATGCCCACGCAGGGAGGAGCAGAGGGAGGACTGACAGAGCAGGAGCGGAGCCCAGAGCACCGCCCACGCAGGGAGGAGCCTCGGAGGAAGCACCGCTTGCAGTGAGGCAGGGGCAAAGAGCGCAGATGGCAAGGAGGTTGAAGGGGTGACGCTGGAGGAGCTGAGACGGTTCCTGTCCTGGAGTGTTTGCCACGCCCCAAGGAGGAAGAGGCCAGGCTGCAGCAGGGGGATGTGGTGTGGGGCGGGCAGTGAACGGAAGCAACGGGCCTGGGGGAAGAGTAAGCAGCTAAGGAGGGTCCAGCAAGGGAGAGTGCGGAGTGTGCGTCCCTCCAGGGAAGCGAAGGCAGAAAGAGGAGTGAGAATGAGAAATGTACGCCTGACCCAGGGCTTCTGGGAGGCAGGCTGGCGTTCCCGAGAACTCGTTGTAACCACAGGCACTGACCCCACTCTACCAGGCGCCAACTCCATGTGGGCAACAGGCCCTAAACGACTAACATCCTGGTGTGGGACTGACTTCCCCCAAACTGCCTCTCTCAGTTCCGTTGCACAACGCACCTGGTGTTCTGGTTTCTTCCCCGACCCGCCCCTGACAGCAATAAGGCTGAGATCAGCTTTCTCCTCTGAAAAGTACACTAAAATGGAATGTGGTTTCATAAATAAAAGTTATCAATTTGCTATCAATTGTAGAAGATGGAGCGCTGGATTGAGGGGTAGGGGGGTGGGAGGGCAGGTGATCTGCCACTGGGCCAGCTCTGCCCTTGACCATGGTACTTGGGGGGTGACAAATAACTTCTGAGTCCTTAGTTTCCTCCCTCCAAAATAAAATCATAATATCGGCCCTCTCGCAGCAAAATGTAAAGCGGATACACGTGGGCAGCGAAAGGACTTGTAAACTCTAAAATGCTCAGCACGTGAGAGCTAGCGTCACGAGCACGGTACGTTCTCCTCGGCAGTTTCCTCCACGGGGTTGGTTCACTTCCGGAGGGGACTGGGACCTCTGGGACTGGCATTACCCCATCCCTCCTGTCCTCGAACCCCAGGTCCCCAGGGGAAAACAGAGCCAAGGGGACTAAGGGGAAACCTCACTCAGGGTCCACTAGGACATGGGAGAAAGCCCAAGGTGAGCATGGGGAGCAGGGGACAGGCTGCCTCAGGTGACACATGCCACATTTCCACCCTATCCTGTCACAGAAGGGATGCAAGGGGAATTCTGGTGTAATTATTCCACGTGGAGAGGCAGGAAAAAGGTCCAAATGCCCTTGTGTCACTTTGTTTTGTTCTAAATAAGGAACACAAAGCCCCCAAAATGCACATGCTGCCCTGTGGAGCACGGAATTCCCCAGAAGGTGACTGTGCCAGGAGGGCCCCTGCTCCTTTCACCCACCCACCTGCCTGTGAGGCCCAGCGTTGTCATGGCAACGCCTGCAAAGCAGTGAAGGGTGAAACCCCAGCAGTTAGGCAGGACCTCAGAATCTCGGTCAGGCCACTCCTCTCTCAGGGCCCCTGTGCCTCTCCAAGACAGGCTTGCCCAAGACCACCATGGGCTGTACCCATCTTCCGTTCCTCAGTCCCACCCAGACCGCAGGCTCTTCCAAGGTTGGAACATATGGTAAACTGAGGCCCAGAGCAATCTGGTGCTTTGCTCAAAGTGCCCTGGCAGGCAGAGCCAAGCCCAGGACCCACCACTGACCTCTACCATGTGAGGAGCTGCCTACCAGGAGCTGGTCGCTGATCTTGAGCTTCTCCATCTGGATCTCCTGCAGAGGCCTCTTGAGCAGGGCCTTGGTCATGGCGTTCTGGGCCGTCATGCGCGTGGCCATGTTCAGGTCCTTCACAGTCATCACAGACAGTACCGGATCCCAGATGCGGAACTGGACATCGGCCCCCACGGACAGCACAGCCCCATCCTTAGAGGCCAACTGTTAGGGAAGGTCATGAAAGAGGAGACACTCAAGGGGCTGGTGCTGCAGGGAGGTCAGGCCCACCAAGACCACCTAACTTGACCCACCCTCCTGGTACCTAGCTCCTCAAGGGGAAAATCATGTCCCCAAGTGCCTGTCATTAGGTACATTGAGCAAGGATGTCGTCCCTGCCTCCATCCTCAACTTTCTGGTTTCTTCCGCCACCCTACCCCTGATGGCTACTCATACACCAAGGTACTGGCTCCCACAATCACTCTGCACAAGGCTCCACTCCCTCTGTCTGGGGGAGCTGAAAAGTTCCTCACCTTGCAGGGAGGGACATTGAAAGCTCGTGTCCTCAAATCCACCCGCTGAAAGGAGTCAATGAAGGGCAAGAGTAGAACCATGCCAGGCCCTTGAGGGGTGCGGATCCGGCCCAGTCGAAACACGATCATCCGCTCATAGGTGGGCACAATCTGTTCATGAGGGTAAGGGAAAGGGTAAAGTACTGGGCCTAGGCTGACAATGGCGTCTGCTCAGGTACCCCCCACCCCTTTCTCTCCTTTGCCTTGGTCAGTGTCAGCTATCCTTAGATCTTTTTAGAAGAGAAAACCAAGGCTCTGAGAGGTTAAATGATGTGCTCAAAAATCACACAGGCCCTGAGTGAAACAGGCAAGAATTGAATGCAGTTCTGAATGCAGTTCCAACCCCAAGCAAAGGACTTTGCCAACTTTAGAAGTAAATAGGTCCAAATTGAGAAATGAAGGCCCAGAGAGGGTGACTTGCCCAAGGTCAGACAGTATTTGTTTCAGTGGCACTTTTAGGACTAGGATTTAGTACCTTCTAAAGACTTCCTTCTAGACCACACCAAACCCAAAGGCTTTCTAGAAAGTTGACTGTTGCCGAGGGCCACACAAAGGGCAAGGCCTGCCTGGGCTTTCACCTTCACTGCAGCTCTCAGATATGATCCTTAAGTATAGCTCGTGGCTTTCCCCTCTGCACCAGCCCTTGCTAAAAACCAGGCCTGAATTCCTATTACTCATTACCTGCTACTGGGCCAAGTGGAGTAGTTTTCAGTTCAAATTTTAGCCTAACCCAGAGAAAGAAGGTGTGGCAAAGATATCTGTGTGCACCTTAAAGCCAGTGTCCACACCCCAGGACTTGGGAGTTTGGGAAGGCTTGTTTACCACTCACTGGCTCCCAGTACTGTTTCCTCATCTAAAAGATACGAATGAACAATCCTGGACCAGCCCATTTCATTGGGGTGTGATAATGTGATATTTAGGGGAAGGGGACAGAGGATGGAGAGTGGGGCCCAGTCCCCCTGGAGTCTGACCCAGCCAGCCTTACCTTCAAGGCAAACCAGCCAGAAATGGGAAAGGTGATCAGCAGCAGCAAGAACCCCAGGAAACTGATGAGGCTGTGGCAGAAGTAGGAGGGCCAGCTCTGAGGCGCATCTGGGGACAAGAGAGCAGAGGCAGTCAAGGAACGCCAACTGGTTCTGGCAGGACAGCAGCAAGCTGAGTGAAGTTGGTCAAGTGCACCTTTTGCCCACCTCCCCCTTAAGCGGCTCGTCCCTCTCAGGGCTCTCTGTTGCCTCCTTGCCTAATTCCTGTCTTTAGCCAGATGCTAGTTAAGCATGTTCCCTCCTCCCACACATCAAAACTAATCTGCCTCAAGTCCCACCTCCACAGGGCCGAGTCTCTGCTAGGCAACAGCCATTAGATTTGAGAAGCCAATCCATGTGATGCTGTCCTCGCCCGGTATGTGGATCAATTCTCTTGTCTGATATATAGTGTCTCCCAGGTATGGGAGCCAGGAGCACCCGGGCATCTGTAAACACTGTGCTGGGTTGAACTGAATGCTGGTGGTAGAACACATTCCTCCTCTACCATCACCCCCAGAAGTGTGCTTTCAGGGCATCCTTTTGGAGATAATGCCTTAGCCTAAAGGGATAAATCATTAATGGCTCAATAGGAACCGGTGAGGGTGAAGAAGTTCTTCCCTAGCTCACAACTCACCGACCCCTTTAAATGCCCTAAGGACTATCAAATGCTTTACTTGAAGTGGCTTGGGGTAGGAGGTGGGAACGAAGAAGATGAGGCTCATCTGAGACAGAGGTCCTGACCCCTGGAGAACCAAGAGCCCAGGATGAAAGTGGAGCTTAGAAAGCCCCAGAATCTAGCATGGTTATCCTCTGCTCTCTTTCCCCTCCCAAGCCTGCGCAGGAAGCAGACAGGAGCTTTTGCTCATTCCTCCCAGGAACTCCATGCCCTCTGGGCTCTCCAAGCCCCAGGACATTTCCTGTCTGGCTCTGACCCCTGTGGCCCCTGCAGGAAAGGAAGCCTTGGAGAGGGTCGGCTGTCATTACAGGAAGGTCAGGAAAGACCAAATCCTCCAGAGGTTGCTTGTCAGACTGAGGCATGTGGGCTCTGGCCTGGGGGCCAAGGGAATCCCTCAAGGCTCTGGAGCAAGAGATGACCAAAGCTGACAAAACAGGCAGCTGAGGGCCTGCCCACATCCACCAGGAAACAGGCAGATGCTTAAGTTTCGGGCATCTAGAAGTACTCCTAGGATGAAGATTCTGCCATTTCTCTGTGGCCAAGCGCCCTTAGGGCGGTGGTGACCTCCCATGCCTAGACTCTGGGTTCTTTCTGGTCAAAATGGGAATTTGAGGGGTCTCCTGGATGGCCCAATCGGTGAATCTGCCGACTGTAGGTTTCTGCTCAGGTTGTGATCTCACTCCCTGAAATCTGGCCCCATCTGCTTGAGATTCTCTCCCTCTGTCCCTCCACCCGCCCTCCCTCCCTCCCTCTCTCTCAAATAAATAAATCTTCAAAATGGGAATCTGAAATCCTTTCCCAGGCTTAAAGGGCTGATACGAGCCGAGAGGAGAAATGAGGGCATGAGGCCTGTTAGAAGATGGGAGAGCTCCGGGCCAGGAGCCCAGTAGCCCTAGGAACGGCGGATGAGCGTTAGCATCCCAACGCCCGGTCCAGGCCCTTCTCCACATCGTAGCCACTCTCGATGCCTCCTCTTAGGGTGCGAGGGCGCCAGACCAACTGACTCCTGAGGGTACCAGCCGGTCCCCGCCCCGGGTCCGCTGTGCTGGGCGGCCACTCACCGGCCCCCGGCCCCACGCCGCCCCGCTCCGGGGACAAGCAGCCCTTCTGCGAGCCCAGGAAGCCGAAGCTCGACTGCTGGAAACGGTCAAAGTCCCCCAGGGGCAGCGCCCGGTACCCGGACCTGCCGAGCATGGCTCTTGACAGGAGCGCACCTCGCGCCCCCCCCGCGCTGCCTGGCCAGAGAAGCCGGCCGCAACCCGGCCCGCCCCTGCCGGCCGCCGCTTCCGGTCTCACTGGCCACGGGCGCAGGAGGCGGCGGCTAGCCGGGCCGGCTCCCGCCGTCCCACAGCGCCCCCTGCGCCAGGAGGACCGAGCCCGCAGGAGTCGTGCCTCCCTGCTCCGCCTGGCCTTGGAAAAGGAGCTGGATGGCAAAGTGAGCTTTGTGAGTGGGTTTTCAGGAGGCAAATTTCCTCCAGAATCAAGGAAATGCTACCAGCCTTCTCAGCACTCCCGCTGCAAGCTCACATACTGGGGTGGGAATGTTGGGATGTCTTATCTAGAATTAGGGTTTCTCCTGGGCACTGTCAGCAAATTATCCCTCCTTGCGTCCCCACAGCCCCACAAGCCTGGCACAGAGTGGATCTCAATACTTATTTGTTGAATGAACCCGCAGCCAGCCTCACTGCGGTCAAGGTGGGGCGGGAGGGCCTGAACTTTGGCACAAAAAGAGAAATTTCATGTGCAGACCTCAGGGAGCACAGCAGAGTGAGGAAGGAGGGGATAGCACAGAGCGTCCCTGAGCAGGCCCTCCAGAGTATCACAAAGGTCCAGAAACAGCACACCCCTTGATCCAGAGGTAACTTGACCTAGAGGTAACTTGCCTCTCCATGGCTTGAGAAAATCTAAATGCAAATGGTAAATTTACTCTGAGAAGCATTGATTTTCAACATGGAGTTGGGGCAGGGTGTCTTTCAAAGTGAGCAAAGAAATTAATAAAGCTTTCCTTGTCTCAGCCACATGCCAGCCCTGCTTCCTCAGACCCATAACACCCCCAAGGTGTGACTCTTCCAGGTCCCTTCTGCAGGGGCTACTCACCATCTTTGGCTTTTCCTAGTTTGATGGCCTGATTCTAAAGCCCTAAGGGTTCTGATCAGGCTGGAGGATAGGGTAAGGCCCGTGAGGCCTCACACAGTCCTGGGAAGTTGGCTCTCCCTGCCATTCCCTTCCCCCACACAGCCCAGACGATAAGCTTTACAAGAGTAAGGTCCCATCACCATCCCTAGTCTGCTCCAAGCCAGAACTGAACTCAGAATTGTACCTGGGAGTTAGCACAGTGGTTGGGATGGTTTGCTGTTTGAAGCCAGGGCCTTTGGCCCAGTGAAGCTGCCTGGAGTTGTGCTTTCTCCCCTCACCAGCTGGGAGCTGACATGCTTCTCCTTTGGCCAAGAGCTAACTTGCTCTCTCCTCACGGTCTTCATACCTGCTCACCAGCTCTCCCCCTTCCCTCCCTGACCCCTCTGCCTCAGACTCACCAGCCTCTCCAGCTGTCACCCAAGGCATCGTCTTGTTTTCCTCATCTCCACTCAGTGTCCTCCCAGTGTCTCTGACTCAGATCCCTCCTCTGCATCCCACAGCCATTGTCCTGGACCAGGCCACCTGTCCTAGGTTGTCAGAGTGACCGTCCCAGCATGCATGTTGGGTCATGTTTCTGGGTTCTAAACTCATTCTCTGTCACCCACAGAACTGGTCCATCTCCTTAGCCCTGATCCCGCTCATGGGTCCCCTCTTAAATCGGAAAATAACGAAAACTAGTTCCTAAACAGACTCTCCTGTTTCAAACCTCCAGGCCTTTGCACATGCTGGTCCAAACGCTCCCCGCCCCGCCCCTCCCCACCCCAAGTTCCTTCAAGTCCCAGCTGAGGATCTCCCTTCCAGCCAGTCCCTCTGCTGTGTGAAAACTTCTGGGTAACTGCTCTTCCATTATTAGATCTGGAGTTCTTCCAAAGCAGGGCCACCTGTGCCTCATCTCTGTGGCCGGGCTCAAAGCCGAGGGCGGCCGCTGCCTCCCTTCTGCTATGCTCCGCCACGGTCCCTTTACCCCCAGGTAAAGGTCACCTGAGCGTCCTGTCTCCTCCCACTCCTCCCTCCGGCTCTGGGCGTGTCTTCAAAGCCCACCGCCGGCCTCTCCGCCCCTAGAACCGCCCCTCCGCTCTGTCTCACTTCCTCTCGGGAGGCGGGCCCTGAGCGGGCACCGCCCCTTTCGCACGGGCTGGGCCGACCCTGGCGTCTGGCGCCCATCTCGTTCCGCTTCCCCTCCCGCCTCTCAAGCTCAAAACCGAGAATCGAAACTGTTCTGTGATCCATGCAGCAGGAGCCTGCGCCCGTCGGGTCCCCGGGTCCCCAGCAAGACCCCGCACTGCCCCACACGCCCACCATGCCTCCCCCGGAGTCCGTCTCCGAAGGCCATCAGCCCAGCCCCAGCCACAGCCCTGCGGAGGTACTACTGGGTTTGGGGAGATGGGATTTAGGCTTTGTTGATTTGCTACGGTGCGGGGAGAGGTGGGAAGGGAGAGGGCAACTTGACCAAGTACCTTAAAGAGTGACACAGAGAGAAAACCAGACATTGGGTCCTGACCTTCTTGGCTGGGGTAGGGAGGGGTACGTGAGAGTAGAAAAGGGCAACAGGATGAGTTAGGGGAGGCTCTCCCGGCTGGGATTCTCCACGAACAGGGGGCAGGACGCTGAGGGTCCGTGACACTTGGGACTGGACTCTTCTGTCCATCCTGGCGACTCGCCCCTTAAGCCCTTGCCTCAGATGAAGGTGCACAGATTAGGGAGAATGGCGGGAGTAGCCCTATTGCGCAGGCCCGGAGCCAGGGGGATGTCCCACGTGTGGAAAACCAAAACCCAAGTTCCCAGATCAGAAAGCGGGAAACTGGCCCAGATGAGAGAAGTGCCTTGGCTAAGGCCTCAGAGCTCCTGTGGTGGTTTCTCCACTAGGATACCTCCAGGATCCTTCTCTTGGAACACCCTGCGTGCCCAGCCCCCCACCCCTCCCCGCTTTGACCAGAAGGGCTTACTAGGTCCTCCTCCTCAGTCCGCTCCCGGAAAACTCCCCAGCTGCCCTCCTCCCGCAAAGGAATTACTTACATCACTTGCTCTATGTTCTCCCAGGCCCTTTGGCTCCCCTTCATGAAAGTACCATCTTGCAGTAACTTTTATTATTTGCATTATTAGAACTAGGAGTAATTATTACTTAATTATGAACACTCCTCATGTGCCAGGTACAGTATTAAGCACTTTTTTTTTGCTGTAAAATATCCATAACATAAAACTTACCCTTACCATGTTTTTGAAGATTTTATTTTTTGTAAGTAATCTCTACTGCCAGTGTGGGGCTCGAACTTCCTGCGATCAAGAGTTGCATGCTCCACTGACTGAGCCAGCTGGGCCCCCCAAAACTTAACCATTTTTAAGTGTACATGTCAGTGGCATTAACTGTATTCACAACGTTGGGTAACCGTCACCACCATTTCTGGAATTTTTTTTATCACCCCCAACAGAAACTTTACTCCTTAGGCGGTAGCTCCTTATTACCCCCTTGTCCCAGCTCCTGATAACCTCCAAACTACTTTCTGTTGCTGTGGATTTGCCTAGTCTAGATTTCATATAAGCAGACCATGCAATATTTATCCTTTTGTGTTTGGCTTATTTTGCTTAGCATAAATGTCTTCAAGGTTCTCATAGCATGTATGAGAATGCCCTTCCTTTTCATTTTATTTATTTATCCATTCATTTGTTCATTTATTCATTTTTTTATTGGTAAAGACTTTATTTTTAAGTAACCTACACCCAACATGGGGCTTGAACTCACAAGCCGGAGATCAAGAGTCACATGCTCCACCAGCTGAGCCAACCAGGCCGCCCTTCCTTCCTTTTTAAAGCTGAATGATAGTCCCTTGAACGCATAGACCACTTTTGTTTATCCATTCATCTATTGATGGACACTTGGGTTATTTCTACCTTTTGGCTATTTGTGCATAACAGTGCTATGAACATGGGTGTACAAGTATCTGTTTGGGTACTTGTTTTCCGTTATTTTGGGAAATATATCTAGGAATGAAATTGCTGGGTTATATGGTAGTCCTGTGTTTAACTTTTTGAGGAGCCACCAAACCACATTAAGCACTTTATATGATGTTATATGAGACACACTTAATGGATCTCCTTTCTAAACTGAGTCCCATGAAGGTAGGGATTTATCCTATCCATCCGGGGATCTCAGGGCCCAGTACTCTTGTCTTATGGGAAGTTGATGCTCAGGACGTTGGGGAGTGAGAGCAGGAAGGCCTGAGTAAGTGGGGGAGTGTGGTCCTGGTAAGCCTGGGTTTTCTATCATCCAAGGACTGCGCAGAATGGAATATTGGAGTCCCACTCCAGCCTCCAGCCACAGGAGTGGGTCTGGTGGGTGGGGGCTCCTGGATTTCAGGCCTCACCCCCACCTCTCTGGTCCCCCAGCAAGCCATGGAGGAGGAGTTCCAGTTCCTGCGCTGCCAGGGCTGCCAGGTCGAAGCCAAGTGCCCCAAGCTGCTGCCTTGTCTGCACACGCTGTGCTCAGGATGCCTGGAGGCGCCGGGCATGCGGTGCCCGATCTGCCAGGCGCCCGGGCCCCTAGGCACTGACTCGCTGGCCCTGGATAACGTCTTCTTCGAGAGTCTACAGCGGCGCCTGTCCGTGTACAGGCAGATCGTGGACGCGCAGGCCATTTGCACCCGCTGCAAAGAACCTGCGGACTTCTGGTGTTTCGAGTGCGAGCAGCTCCTCTGTGCCAAGTGCTTCGAGGCGCACCAGTGGTTCCTCAAGCATGAGGCCCGGCCCCTGGCGGAGCTCCGCAGCCAGTCGGTGCGGGAGTTCCTAGACGGCACGCGCAAGTCCAACAACATCTTCTGCTCCAATCCCAACCACCGCACCCCTATGCTGACGAGGTGAGCCCGCCGGCCCAGGGTGGGGTGGCACATCTGAGAGCCGGGTGGAAGGTGCGGGGAGCAGAGATCCAAAGAGTCACGCAGCTGGGAACGTGGAATAAGGAGCTTCTAGGGTCTTGCAATTCAGAGTGTGGTCCACAGACTGGCAGCATCTGGGGCCATGACCACGGTTTATGTTATCCCATGCAAATGGATAGTAATCCTAAACAGTTTCCCCCTGTAATAAATAATGCTGCAGAATCATCTTTACACACTTATCCAGTCATTTCTTCAGGGTAAATTTTGGAAATGGCATTGCAATTCAGGGGTATGAAAATTTTACACTTTGATACATGTTACCAAACTGCCCTTTAGAAAGTCTTACAGTGGAATTTTCCATTTCCTGGCCATGGAGTATGGGTGTACAGTTAGATTCTCAATGAGATGCAGGTAGTTTCTGTCTGAAAAGTCAAAACCATAACACCGTAGTATCTTGGAATGTCTATTTGGAAAAAAAAAAAAGCAATTGAATCCAGTTAAAACTTATTTTTATTAAACAGCACAGGATTTTAATTCAATATTTTTGATAATACATTTGTATGGTTCAAAAAATTACACAATTTATAAAGAGAGGGGGCAAAGTCTCCATTTCACTTTGTCCCCATCTGCTTAATTTCTACCACTTCTCCCTCCCCCCGTCCATCCACAGTTGACCATTGTTACCAGTTTTTAATGTCTCCAGAGTTTCTTTGTGAATATATGCACAGGAAGGGGTATATAGTCTTATAAATTCTAATTTTCCCCCTTTTAGCCAAAAAGGGAGCATACTTACATGAACTCTTCCTGCTCTCAATAGATTGCTCCTGTAAGATTCTTAGCAGTGCTGCTTGGGGATCTGCGTAGCTAAGGTATTCTTTGCCCACTGGGGACACACTCAGAACTGCACTCCTGCTAAAGCTCAGTGTGGCTTGCTTCCTGTGGCTTGCTTCCGGCTGGGACTTTCACCACCTGCTCTACTAGAGTGCCTTTCTGGCAGATTCCTCAACAGACAGACATTAGAATTTGGATTTTCTTGTTTGTTGTTAAGATTCAGATTTAGTGGCTTTTTAGATGTTTATTGGCCATTGTTTTTTTTCTTCATTTGTGAATTGCCTATTTAGGTCCTTCGCCTGTTTGGTTTTTTTCTTCAAGAAATCAGTCTCTAATTTCAAGAGCCAACAGTCCAAACGTTTTCTCCTGTTGACCTTTGTCATTTCATTTCCTATGAGGGATTGTGTTTAAGTGTTTCGTTTTATAGAATCCAGTTCATCAGTCTCTTCCTGTATGCTATCCTGCTTCGATCATGCTAGGAAAGATTTTTTTTCCCCAGGCCAATGTTAAAAATACTTTTCTTATATTCTGTTTTAACAATCTCATGGTTTTATGTTTATAATTGAATCTTTAATTCATACGGAATTTATTTTTCTTTGTGGTATAAAGTAGGATTCCTCACTTTGCTTTTCTCTCCAAATTGAAAGCTGGTTCTCTCAACAACTTTTATTGGATAATCCACTCTTGCCTTCATCTCAAATGCCCTTTTCATCCTGTACTAAATACCCAAGTAATCACGGGTATGTTTGTAAATATCTGTTCTGTGCTGATGATCTGACTATTCCTACGCTAATCCTTACTGTCATAGGGAATTCCGAAGGGCAAATTCCCATTCTTCTTCAGAAGTGCTTTTGCTTTTCTTATGTTCTTAGAGTTGATGCAATTTCAGAACTTACGTATTCATTGAGATTTTGATTGAAACTGTATTAAATCTGGGGAGAGTTGTCCTCATCTCTGATTTTATCTTTTGAGTTTTATAGTTTTATGGACATACCTCTTGAACTTTCAAATTATAGTTAAATTTATAGTATTTAATGACCCTGTGAATAAAACCTTTTCCATTACCATTTCTAGCTGGTTATCATTAACATCCTTTAATCCTCCTAATTTATTATATCAGCCATCTGATTGAGCTCTTTTATTCTTGTAAGTTTTTCCAATTGATTCTTTTGGATTTTCTAGGTAAACAAATCGTGTCATCTGCAAAGAATAAAAACTTTTTTTCTCTCCAGGATTTACACATATTACCTCCTTGTAGCTTTGTTTTGTTAGCTAGGACCCTCAGAACACTATTGAAGAGTGAGAGGAAGTGGTTAGAAAAGGCAGCTTTAAAAAAAAGAAAAGAAGAGAAGACAATTGTATTTTATTCCTAGCTTTCATGAGAGTTTTTCTTATTTACTATGCTGTTTATTATTGGCTTCCTTAGGTAACTACAAAATCACATTCAGAAAGTTGCCTCCCACTTCTAGCTTAAGAGTTTTTTGTGGCTGCTATTTTGTTTTATTTTTAACTCAGGAATGGGTGTTCTTTGGGATTCTATGAAGGTGTCCTTTTACCTTTCAGTGTGATGAATTATATAGCAGTGTTTCTTTATGTTGAGCCATTTTTTTAATTCCCAGGAGGAAACACCCTATTTGGTCCTGATATACTATTATTTTAATTCATAGCTAGATTCCATTCAACCCTGTTTTATTTAGGCTATTATCTATATTTATAAATGCGATCGATTTTTATGAATACGTATGATTTCTTTCAAGGTTTTTGACCCATTTTATACTAATATCTTTCCGTGAATTTGTAGCTTTTTTGAACATGGTATACACACACACACACACACACACACAAATTGCTTAGCACAGTGCCTGGTACATATTAAGTACTGAGTCAACGTTAAATTCCTATTCCTATAATTTCTCTGCTCTGCTCTAGAACAGCTAAAGAACATATGTAGTTTGGGTTTATAGAAGTTTCCTGAAAAACTATCTGAAACTGGTGCTTTTTTTGAAGAGTAGATTTTCTCCCTGGTATTGGTCTGTTATGGGTCTTGAATCAGATTTTCTGGAAAATTTTCCAGTTCATCCTGAGTTCTTAAAAATCCCTTTTATACCTAAATGATGTCCCCTTTCTTATTTCTAAACAAGATGTTAGTAGCTTCCAAGTGGTTTGACGTAGGGGTTGGGGTGGGTTTCTCTCTAGGTACAATGGGCAAGGCTGGTCCAGCCAAGAGGGCAGGATTCCAGTCCCTTGAGCAATGTGGATGACTTCAAAAACCTGACCATATTGCCTAAAAATCCTACACAGAGGGGTTTCGGGGTGGCTCAGTTGGTTGAGCATCTGACTCTTGGTTTTGGCTCAGGTCGTGATCTTGGGATCATGGGCTTGAGCCCCACATAGGGCTCTGTGCTCAAGGTGGATTCGGCCTGGCATTCTCTCCTTTTCCCTCTGCCCCTTCCCTACCCCACCCACGCTTGCACACTCTCTCTCTCTCTCACTAAGTAAAAAAATAAAATAACATTTTTTAAAAAAAAAAATCATACACAGACACAATTCACATTGTTTCACAGTTTGCCAGTGGTTACTGGATACCCTCAACTTCTGTTTTCTGCACAAAACTTCAGTGCCATAAATAACCCACAGCTTTCTTCAGGTCACGGTGCAGTAATAAATCACTTCATCCTTTAAACACTGGGCTGATTTAGGACTCAGGGTGGGGAGCAGCACCAGAGGTGGCTTTAGACTTAGAACTCAGCCTGGCGGTGTCTGCCTTGGGGCCATTGGCATTGATCGCCACTTCCATGGAGTACGTTTTTCCAGCCTGCTTCCTCCTATGTGGCAGGCCGTCTACTAGGCACTAGGGTATAACTATGAACAGACACAGGCCTGGTGCTCTGTGAGGTCACAGTCTGGTAAAAGAACCAGATCTGCAACTAACAGTCAAGGCTGTAAAGTGCCAATAGGAAACCTGCTCACCCTGAGCTTGGGTAATTTCACACTGTCCTCTACCTCTGTCCCTGCTCGGCACAGGGCTCACCTCGCTGTCTGTGCTCTGTCATTTGTTAAGGGCAGAAGGGAGGAGGAGCGCAGGTGCAAAAGCAAGTCATCTTAGAAAAGGCATTGGCTGGGGAAGGCAGCTTCCAAGAGGGTGTCACCTTTAGCCTGATGCGTAAAAAAGGAAAAATGGCATCAGGGGCAGGGTGGGGTGGGCCAGGCAGCAGCTACAAAGGCAGAAGCACTAGTCTGCTGCATTTCAGGAATTGCAAGTAAAGGGGATGCCTGAAGGCAGGGGCTGAAAGGGGGAGCTGGAGTCAGACATGGGGGGCTTGGAGTTAGGACTCGATCCTATCATTTCTGAGACATAGAATGTTCTCAGCTTGCTCCTTTTTCATGCAGTCCTTGTTTTACCAGTGAATGGCCTATAGAACATACTTTGATGGGGACCCAAGGAGGGGCTCTGTTGGAAGCCATTGGTGGGTGTTAAGGCAGAGGGTGGGAGGATCAGATTCTCTCTGCACTGTGGTTCTGTGAAGTGGGTAAATTTGGGAGACCAGAGGCCCGTATGATTGTTTGGCTGCATGCTTATTTACATTTCACCCCATTCCACAAAGAATTTGAACAGATTGACCACCATACTGTTGGGTATATGTACCCAGCAGAGACTGAAGCAAAGAATCTGCACCAGAGAAAAGGGAGCCCCATTAGGAGACGGAGGCCATGGTCCAGGTGGGGGTGAGGCCTGCAAGAATGCAGAGATGGAAGGCTGGGGAAAAGGCCCAAATCTCACACTCCCAGGGCCTGCCTGACCTGGAGGTCAAGGTGGCTGCCAGCCTATTTGGGAGTGCTGGGGAGTGCCTTCCACCCAAGAGTATTATGGGTCTAGGACAGCAGGTGGTGCTGAGACCCATATCTGGGTGTCAGATCCCAAAGCTTGGCGATGTGGATGACTTCAAAAACCTGACCAGATTGCCTAAAAATCCTACACAGAAGGGCTTCTGGGTGGCTCAGTTGGTTGAGCGTCTGACTCTTGGTTTTGGCTCAGGTCGTGATCTTGGGGTTGTGGGCTTGAGCCCCACACAGGGCTCTGTGCTCAAGGTGGATTCTGCCTGGGATGGGGTAAGGGAATTAGTCCATCAAAGCTTTGTAGCCAGAAAGCA